TTCATGCACTGAGGCAGCCCTGCACCCCAAGCAAGTCTTGCGTGTCTTTTCACTCAGCTGGAGTGGAGGGTCCCTTTCTGTTAGGAGTGGTGAATCCAGCTGGGCCTGTACCCCAACTGTCTGGCTTTCAGTGGGCTGAACAGACCAACACCACCCAGGCGTCCTTGTAGGCTGGAAGAGGGCCAGCTGGGAACACTGTAGACAAGGGCAGATTTCTGAGGACTTTAGCCCCATCCATGAGGACTGAGGTTGGTGGATCCCTGAAGTGGCATGGTGGCCCCAGGCAGGAACCCGGAAGTACCCCTAACCTGATGTACCTTGGAGCCCTGGCCAGGTGCCTAGCTGACTGCCATCCCATTAGAAGGCGGCTCAAATGCAGTCTGTCTTGCTGGCGTTTTTATTTGCCTGATGGATGTTTTTCCTTTAACTGGCTCTGCTAGGAGAGTGAGTGTGGGGGGTGGGGCTGGGGGTGAGTGTAGATTCATTCATCAGGGCTGAGTGTTCCCTGCAGGCGCTGCCTGATCTTGGGAGAATGCCATATTTGTCAGGCCCTGCCTGTGAGGACAGGCCACAGAGTTCCCAGCAGGAGCCTCCTGGCCAGGAAAGCCTTTGGTCCCTGACGCTACAGGCCACACTCAGCGGACAGCTGGACCCTTAGTCAATTGAGTTGCGGGGGAGACAGTGGAGCTATAGAGGGTTCTGGAGTGGTGGAGGAGAGTGTGGTGATTGCTCAAGCAGTGAAGGATCGACTATAGGAGAGCCCGGAGAGGCAGGAGGAACTGGACTGAATTTACCCTGTCCTCCCTGAACCGAGGGGACAATGACAATGGTGCCTAAATGAGTCATAGGAAGACGAGCTTGGCGGTGTGTGTGTGTGTGTGTCTGGGCTTTTGACACTGGGTTTGGAAGGTTAAAGAGTTCTGGAGGCCAGAAAGGTTTCTCTACGGCCAGTTGAGACTGCTGTTGTAGAGAACGTGACTTTGGTTGCAGGCACCCGTGCTGGGTGGCGCATATCCAGCTCCAGGGAATCCAATGGTCCCTGAGAGCATGGACCCACCCTCCACGGAGACTCCAAATGCAGACCCAGATGGATCTCTTGAGTTCAAGGGCAGCCTGGTGTGAACTTGGAGTTCCAGACTAGCCATGGCTGCATAATGGAGCCCTGTCTCAAACGAATACAAAAAATAATACTGTTTTCTGAGACAGGTTTCTCTGTGTAGCCCCAGCCGTCCTGAAACTCGCTCTGTAGACCAGGCTGGCCTCAAACTCACAGAGATCCCCCTGCCTCTGCCTCCGGAGCGCTGGGATTGACGGCGTGCACCAATAATAATACATATTTTAAAAGAGAAGAAAACAAGATGGGTAAGGACACTCGCAGCCAAGTCTGAGGACCCACAGAGTGGAGAGGAATGACAGACCCCAAAAGGCTGTCCCCACATGGGCTGCAGAATGCAACTTAGCCCACAAACCCAAGATATAAATACAGATACCTTTTTGTTGTTTGGTTTTTGTGATTCAAGATTGTTGCCGGTCCCTGGTGTGATTGCCGCCTGTGTGTCTGTTCTGAGGAGCGGCAGGCAGTACTCTCGATCCCACTTCTCTCCACCCAAGAACGCACCTCCGCCTCAGGGAAGACTCGATGGACGTGAGCCCTCTAAGGCCTCAGAACTACCTTTTCGGTTGTGAACTAAAAGCCGACAAAGATGATCGCTTTAAGGTGGATAATGGCGAGGATGAACACCAGTTATCACTAAAACGGTTAGTTCAGGTGCTGGGGGAAAGACAATCACACATCGCAGAGGCAGAAGCAGTGAACTGTCCAGGCAGTCCAACTAAAGCAACGCTGGCAACTTTGAAAAGGTCTGTACAGCCAAGCGTTTCTCTTGGGGGCTTTGAAATCCCACCACCTGTGGTCGGAAGGTTGAAGTGCAGAGTAGTGGCGGCACCTGAGAGCTGTAGAGGAGTCAGAGAATGAAGATGAGGAGGATGTAAAGCTGTTGAGTATGTCTGGATGAGGGTGATGATGGAGAGGAAGATGATGAAGATGAGGAGGGTGAAGATGTGAAGAATTGCTATCAAGACCTCTGGCACTGGAGGCAGTCTCCTTAAGAACATGGTTTAGGGCTGGAGAGATGGCTCAGGTTAAGAGCATTGCCTGCTCTTCCAAAGGTCCTGAGTTCAATTCCCAGCAACCACATGGTGGCTCACAACCATCTGTAATGAGATCTGGCGCCCTCTTCTGGCCTGCAGGCATACACACAGACAGAATATTGTATACACGATAAATAAATATTAAAAAAAGGAACATGGTTTAAACAGTTTGAAATATTCCGTCTTTTATTTCTGCAACAGTTGGTATATCTGGCTGTCCTTTTTATAATGGGAAGGGAGAACTTTCCCTCCTGTGTTTGATAAATGTTGTCCAGGTTCCATTGCCAACAGTGTGTTGTCTAAAATGCTTGGTTAGTTTTCAAGGATGGCGCTCCCCTGTACTTGGTTCTCAGTGTGTATGGAGTGTTAGGATAGGACATAGTGGTGGTCAGAAGTGGAAATGGTAGGGAGACAAAACCAAAAACATACATGTGAAATAAACTCAGTATGTCAATAAAGTAAAAAAAAAAAATTACCAAAAAGATGATTGCCGGGACTGGAGGGCACATCTACCTTCCACCAGATGTGTCTGCCCCAGTTTCCCCAGGGTGCACACACGATTGAGCTGGCAGAGACTGTTCTGAGAACCTCTGGGCTGTGGGAGGCATCACCCAGTCCCTCCCTGCCAGCCACAGCAAGCCCAGCTCCTCCTTCAGTGGACGGGGACCCGAAGGAGGGACGGAGCGGACTGGCCCAGGTGTCTCTTCCTTCCCCGCGCACAGTGGCAACTTCGGGATGGAACGTGTAAGGACGCTGTGGCTCGTCCTGGCGCTGGGGCTCCGGGCGGTGAGCGGTCACCCTCAGCCCTGCGGGGTTGCCTCGCGTGCCGGGGGCTCCCTGCGCCTAGCTGCGCTCCTGCCCCGCGCGCCCGCCGCCCGCACCCGCGTCCTGGCCGCCCTGGCCATCCCCGCACCGCGGCTGCCGCACAACCTGAGTCTGGATCTGGTGACCATCGCGTCCCCCGCCCGGGACCCCGCGTCTCTGGCCCGAGGTCTGTGCCAGGTCCTGGCACCGCCCGGCGTGGTGGCCTCGGTAGCCTTTCCCGAGGCGCGGCCCGAGCTGCGGCTGCTGCAGTTCCTGGCAGCGGCCACGGAGACCCCGGTACTGAGCATCCTGCGGAGGGAGGCGCGCGCGCCCCTTGGAACCCCGGTACGCAGGGAACGCTGGGGACCCTGGGGCGCGGGGACGGGAAGCGGGAGCCCCACTTCTCCAACCAGGGAATGGAGAGGACCCCTGCCCCCTCCCTTCCCTCCTAAGCACGCCTTGGCTAGGAGGGCGGGCCACTCTCTTCTCCTTGGACTTGGCCAGTTTGGGAAATCCTCCCAGAAGTCCATCTTTCCTTCCCAGGGGCCCTACAGGCCAGCAACTCCTATCCACAGCGCTCTGGTGGCCTCCATCCCCAGAGCAGAGCCGGTCTATCCCCAACCTCGGCATGTCCCATCCTCATCCTCGCTATGTCTTTTTTTTTTTTTTTAAACTTTTAAAAATTACTTAATGTTTTGAGAGAGCCTCTAGCCCTGAACTCATAGAAATCCACCTGCCTCTGCTTCCCGAGTGCTGGGAATAAAGGCATGCGCCATTACACCCGGCTAGGGTCTGTCTGTCTCTGTGTCTGAAGCTGTCTCACTACGGACCAAGCAGGCCAACCAAAGTTCCCACCAGGAGTAACAACCCGGAGCAGGGCTTAAGACCCTCGTCCCTGGGTTCCCTCTATCACCTAAGGCCACTTGGTTGGGTGGGAGACTCAAGACCCAAGCTGAAGATCGTCCCGTTCTGGGAACTGTGGCCAGCTATGCTTCCAGCCTCTGAGCCAATTCCGGCTCCTCTGGGGTTGGCCTGGCCTCCCCAAACAGAGCCGAGGCATCCTCCTGTGTTCCTCAGCAACGCCCAGGGGATGTTGGGTATCTACTGGGACCCCTGAGTATTTCAAATGTGCTACAAAACCCCTAAGGACGCTTGGGATGTGCTGAGCACCAGGGGGCGCCTGGTGGGGTGGAACTAGGTCAGGACAGAAGCCAAAGCAGGGAGAGAGACAGACAGACAGACAGGAACCAAAGTCTGGGAGCGCTCTGGAGAGTCCAAGGTTCTCCCTGATAATGTCCAGGTCTACAGAGAAGAGACAACAGAGCTGGGTTTTGAAGGATGTGGAGGTGTTGTGTGATGTTTTACCCTTTAGGCTTTTTTGGGGCCCACCACCCAGCTCCCAAAGAATCATACACAGAGTCTTATTCTTAAAAATGAACGCCCGGCCTTAGCTTGGCTTGTTTCTTGCCAGCTTTTCTTATCTTAAATTAACCCATCTACCTTTTGCCACTGGGATCTTATCTTTCTCTTCTGTAAACCTTTGCTTGTTTGTTTTTCGAGACAGGGTTTCTCTGTGGCTTTGGAGCCTGTCCTGGAACTCACTCTGTAGCCCAGGCTGGCCTCGAACTCACAGAGATCCGCCTGCCTTTGCCTCCCGAAAGCTGGAATCAAAGACGTGTCCGTGACTGGCTGTGTTGCTGGGTGGCTGGGTTCCCTTCTCCTTTTTCTCTTGTTGTTCTGTTCTCTTCCTCATTTCCCCCCTTCTCTGCCTGCCAGCCCTGTCTATCCTCACTCCTCCCTTGCTATTGGCCATTCAGGTGTTTTAGACAGACAGAGAATCGTAGCTTCACAGAGTTAAATAAATGCAGCATAAACAAAAGCAACACACCTCAAAATATTATTCCCCAACATATGGGAGTTGACTAGCTTGGAGAGGAAAGGGCATTGTAGCTGGGGGAATTCCAGACAACGAGGGAGGCTGGGCCACGGTGCATGAAGTCTGGGATCCCATCTCAGCAGGGCATAACTGGAAGAAATGGTACCTGCTTGTCATCCTAGGGCTCTGGAGGTAGAGGCAGGAGGATAGTGAGTTCAAGACCAGCCTGAGCGGGGAGGGTTAGAGGGTTCAGAGCAGGGTGAGCTGAAGCAGGCAGGACAGTGCCCAGCTTGAGAGAGTGGGGTGGAGATGGAGCTGCAGATACCAAGCTCACTAGCACTGACTGGAACCACCTCTTCCCAGACCCCGTTCCATCTGCAGCTGGACTGGGCCAGTCCCCTGGAGACCATACTGGATGTGCTGGTGTCCCTGTTACAGGCGCATGCCTGGGAGGACGTTGCCCTGGTACTCTGCCGTGTCCGGGACCCTGGCAGCCTTGTGACACTCTGGACTAGCCGTGCTGGCCAGGCTCCAAAGTTCGTGCTGGACCTGAGTCAGCTGGACAGTAGCAATGGCGGCCTTCGGGCTGGACTGTCCCTGTTGGGGGCACTGGACGGGGGGTTAAGCATAGTGCCTGCCGCGGTCCTCCTCGGTTGCAGCGCTGCCCGCGCACATGAGATCCTAGAGGCTGCACCACCAGGTCCTCAGTGGCTACTGGGCACACCGCTGCCCGCGGAGGCACTGCCCACGGCCGGCCTGTCACCTGGGGTGCTGGCGTTGGGAGAAATCAAACGACCCTCACTGGAAGCTGCCATTCACGACACGGTGGAGCTTGTGGCACGAGCACTCGGTAGCATGGCCCTCGCACATCCGGAGCGCTCCCTGCTTCCAGGTGCCGTCAACTGTGAGGACCCGAAACCAGCTGGGCCTGAGTCATCTGGGCACACCTTGGCACGGTGAGTCCAGCTTCGGGGAAAAGGCCAGGCCCATAGCCTGGCTCTGTCCCGTGTGTCAGGGGTGGGTGCCTCAGCAGGAACAGAACCTAGAGGCGGGTGGTTGTCCCTCCATCCTCAGCCTAGAGCCCCCATGGCTTCCAGGCGGGGGCTAGCTGAGCAAGGCGCAGCGCTCTCAGAGTGGTGATAATCCCTACTCTTTCCATTCCCCAGATTTCTAAGCAACACATCCTTCCAGGGCCGCACAGGGGCCGTATGGGTGACAGGCTCCTCTCAGGTGTACGTGTCCCGGCATTTCAAGGTGTGGAGCCTACGCCGGGATCCGCTGGGCGCCCCAGCCTGGGCAACGGTGGGCAGCTGGCAGGACGGACAGCTGGAGTTTGAGCCCGGGACAGCTGCTGTGCGCGTCCCGTCTCCATCTGGCACCCAGGCACGACCGAAGCTGCGAGTGGTGACCCTGGTGGAGCACCCGTTTGTGTTCACCAGGGAATCCGATGAGGATGGGCAGTGTCCAGCTGGGCAGCTGTGTCTAGACCCAGGCACCAACGACTCGTCCAAGCTGGATGCGCTGTTTGCAGCACTAGCCAACGGCTCGGTTCCCCGCGCGCTGCGAAGATGTTGTTACGGCTACTGCATTGACCTGCTGGAGCGGCTGGCTGAGGACCTGGCCTTTGATTTCGAGCTCTATATTGTGGGGGACGGCAAATATGGGGCCCTGCGTGATGGACGCTGGACAGGCCTGGTGGGCGATCTACTGGCTGGCCGGGCACACATGGCTGTGACCAGCTTCAGCATCAATTCGGCTCGCTCCCGAGTGGTGGACTTCACCAGCCCTTTCTTCTCCACCAGCCTGGGCATCATGGTGCGTACGCGGGACACGGCCTCACCCATCGGGGCCTTCATGTGGCCCCTGCACTGGTCCATGTGGGTGGGTGTTTTCGCGGCTCTGCACCTTACAGCACTCTTCCTTACCCTGTACGAATGGCGGAGCCCCTACGGCCTCACGCCCCGTGGCCGCAACCGTGGCACTGTCTTCTCCTACTCCTCGGCGCTCAACCTCTGCTATGCCATCCTCTTTGGGCGCACTGTCTCCAGCAAGACACCCAAGTGTCCTACCGGACGCTTCCTCATGAACCTCTGGGCAATCTTCTGCCTGCTCGTGCTGTCTAGCTACACAGCCAACCTGGCTGCCGTCATGGTCGGGGACAAGACCTTTGAGGAGCTGTCTGGAATCCATGACCCCAAGGTGGGGACTGGGAAAGCTGAGGGGCTGTGGGTTGTAGTCAGAGTGGGGTGGCACTGGGCTCAGCAATTGTAGTGCTGGCAATGGAATCCAGGGACTCTACCCCCTGACCTTGCCCCAGCTCCTCCCTGGGGGATTCTAGGCCCCACCCTGATGACACCTCCGTTTGCTTCCCCTACCTCCAGACAGGGTCTCTTTGTTTAACAGTCCTGTTTGCCCTGGAACTTACTCTTGTAGACCAACCAAGCTGGCCTCGAACTCACAGAGATCCGCCTGCCTCTGCCTCCCAAGTGCTGGGATTAAAGGGGTGCGCCTCCACCATCCGAGGCCTTCCTTCTTAAGGATGAGTCCTTTTTTTAAAGAATTGCAGCCAGGTGGGCGGTGGTGGCGCATCACTTTAACCCCAACACTCAGGAGGCAGAGACAGGCGGAATTCCAGGAGTTCGAGGCTAGCCTGATCTACAAGAGCTAGTTCCAGGTCAGGCTCCAAAGCTACTACGGAGAAACCCTGTCGCGAAAAAAATATAAACCAACAACTGCCGTCCTTCAGGGATGGCAGGCATGCTGAAGTACATCTGAGTTTATTCTCGCCTTTCATGTTTTTGTAGTTCATGCTATTTCTCAGTTTCCCCTTCTTTGGGATCTAGCTGGTCGCATCCTGCTGACCCCACCCCCAATCTTGCGTTCCCTGCAATTAGAGCCCAATGCTCTAGCCACCATAATGGCTGATGGCCAAGGCCAGGTGAGGTGAGGACTGGGGTTGGGGTGAGAGCAGAAAAATATGGAGTGTCTCTGGGGTTCCCAAATGAAGCACTTGCGGAGCTGATGGTACCGCATCTGAGCTCTGTACTAGGCCCCTGCGCGAGGTCAAGCAGGCCCTGGTAGGGGCCCAGGCTGCCGGCTGAGCGCTCCTCCTCCGCAGCTGCACCACCCTTCCCAAGGCTTCCGCTTCGGCACCGTGTGGGAGAGCAGCGCAGAGGCCTACATCAAGGCGAGCTTCCCTGAGATGCACGCACACATGCGGCGCCACAGTGCGCCCACCACTCCACATGGAGTGGCCATGCTCACGTGAGTCTGCGGGGTACTGTGTGGCGTCGGAGGGCCACCTGCCACTCAGGACCTGCTGACCTTGCACCATCCTGCTCCACAGGAGCGACCCACCCAAGCTCAACGCCTTCATCATGGACAAGTCTCTACTGGACTACGAGGTGTCCATTGACGCTGACTGTAAGCTGCTCACCGTGGGCAAACCCTTTGCTATCGAGGGTGAGTGTGGAGTGGGGTTCTGGGCATCCCAGCCGTGGGTGCACGCAGTTTAGTGGAGCCTCCTCCCACCCGGCTCAACCTCTCCAGGCTACGGCATAGGGCTGCCCCAGAACTCACCGCTCACTTCCAACCTGTCGGAGTTCATCAGTCGCTACAAGTCTTCCGGTTTCATTGACCTGCTCCATGACAAGTGGTACAAGATGGTGCCTTGCGGGAAGCGGGTGTTCGCCATGACGGAGGTGGGCAGGCGCCCGGTACACAGGGTGGGGAGCTCTGGCTATGCTTGCGTGCATTGGCACTCACCCTACACAGCCCCAACACCCCTTCATTCCTAAGATCTCCCCACCTATTGGCCCTGACCCCCTGGGGACATGGCTGTTGTGCAGACGCTGCAGATGGGTGTCTACCACTTCTCGGGGCTGTTTGTGCTGCTGTGTCTCGGGCTGGGCAGCGCACTCCTCAGCTCTCTGGGTGAGCACGTCTTCTACCGCCTGGTGCTGCCACGTATCCGCAGAGGCAACAAACTGCAGTACTGGCTTCACACGAGTCAGGTGAGGTGGCAGGGACCAGAAAAGGGTGGGATAGCGCAGATGGGCAACCCGGGCGCCCACTGACATGCTTGTCTGTGTCCCTAGAAGATCCACCGAGCACTCAACACTGGGACGCCAGAAGGGCACCAGGAGAAGCCGGAGCAAGAGTGCAGGTGTGCGTGGGACAGGGAGGGGGAGCCCCAGGTGGCCAGGAGGTGGCCAGGAGGGCTGCAAGGGCCACTGCTTCCTCTCTGTCCTAGCGGCCCCGAGGAGCAGCCGCCTGCAGCTGAAGGAGCGGCACGCTGGAGGCGGGTGCGCAGGGCTGTTGAACGAGAGCGGCGCGTGCGGTTCCTCCTGGAAACCCGGGAGGCCGGCGGGGACCGCCCGTGGCTCTGCTCCAATGGGCCTGGTCCTCAAGCGGAGCTGCAGGAGCTGGAGCTGCGCATTGAGGCGGCGCGGGAGCGTCTGCGCAGTGCACTGCTGCGGCGCGGGGAGCTGCGGGCCCGACTGGGGGATGGCGCCCAGCTCCGGCCACTGCGCCTGCTGCAGGTACCACCGGCGGAAAGCTGAGGGACCACACGGCCGCGCTGTCCACGGCAGTTTATTCTATATACAAACACGACTCTGTACACTGCAATTAAATAGCATAGAACGAGCGTCCCACGTCCTGAGCCGCCACCTGCGAGTCCGGGCCCGGGCGCTCGACCCCGTGTGGGCGCTGTGAGGAAGGCACTGGGGAGCACCAGGTGGCCGGCGGCCACGCGCCCACCGCACCTCGCCGCCCTGTCCTGGCCGCTTCCAGAACCTTCACCGCCAGCCCCTCTCCCTGCAGACCACAGCTCTTTCAGGCTCCGGCCGCGGCCCGCCGGGAGCTGGGGAAGTTGTTGCTCTCAGGACCCGGCAGGCGCAGGCGAATCCTCCTGAGGGACCCCGGGGTCAGGGCGCGCGCTGTCCGGGGTGCTGGGGGCCGCCGGCCTCCGCTCCAGCAGTGAGGCGCTCAACCCCGACAGGAAGGACGCGTCCGAGATAATGGCGGCCGTCTCGGCCACCCAACCCAGGTTACTGCCGGACACCGAGGCTGCGGCGCCCAGCGAGCCAGGCCCAGATGCTCCGCCCGCGGGAGCGGAGCTGGAGTTGGGGCCCAGCGCAAGCTGAGGACCGGGATCGGGGGCCGCCGGGGAGCCAGAGTTGTTGTTGAGGTCGTCAGGCAGTGCTGTGGGGGTCCCGGGGCCTAGCTGTGGCGTCTGCAACAACATCTCCTGGATGCGGATCTGCTGCAGGATGGCCGGCAACTCGTAATGGTGGAAGAAGTATATCATGGAATGCTGCGGAGGTCAGAAGTCAGGTGAGCCAGGCCGCACGAGGCTCTGCCCACCAGCAGTAGGCCAGCCAGCCTGGTGGGGCGCAGCAGGGCAGGGGCGGCCCTCACCTGGATGAAGAGCCAGGAGGTGACCAGGGCCAGGCTGCTGTACTGCCCGTTGAAGCGGTAGTGGTAGGCGTAGAAGGCAAAGTGGTACAGGTAGAAGAACCTGCAGGACGGGAGAAGCTGCCCTGTCTGACAGGCCCCGCCCTGTCCCACCCGGATCCACCTCTGACCCCGCCCCCACTGGCCCCGCCCCCACCTCAGCCAGTGCCGCTTGCTGGTGTTGGTGTGGCAGCAGATGGCATCATACTGGTCGGCCAGCCACACGATGAGGATGATGTAGAAGGCCGTGGTGGTGTCATTGAAGAACTCAGACATGATGGCCTCCATCCCTGCGGGGACACGCGGCGGGGTTGGCACGGGTGGGGCGGGGCGGGGGCGGGGGCGCAGCGGGGGTCCTCACCGACGAGGGCCAGGATGACGGTCAGCAAGGGCGCTGCGGGGAAGGCGATGGCCATGTTCATCTCCAGCATCTGCAGCAGGTCCACTGCGGGCACAGGGCGGCCGCCCGTGAGGGCCTGGGGAGAGCCCAGCCCACCCCCGGCCGGCCAGGACTCACCGATGAAGACGAAGATCTGGTGGTGCGAGTAGCGCAGCAGCATGGACACGCTGAGGGTCTGCGGGCGGGCAGGTCGGTCAGGGTCAAGGGTGCCGGGGGTGGGCACCCCAGCCCAGCAGGCCCCCAGGAGTGCCAGCCATGCCTATTCACTCACAAAGATGACCATGATGACGAAGGCCGCCAGGTAGGACGTGCGCGCCATCCACATGCTGACAAAGCGGTAGTGCTCCCCAGACACCACATTCCTCAGGAAACCTGGGAGAGGCAGCCATGAGCAGCTGGGTGGCCGCCATCCTCCCTTCCCCGTCCTCCCCGCCCAGGGCCCCACCCTTGTTCTCCTCATTTTCTGCTAGGCCCTTCACACTGGACATGAGGACGTCGTCATATCCCAGGAACTCGTCCAGCAAGAGTCGGCTAAAGCGGTCTCCGAAGCACTGGTCCCGGGTGGGGTCTGTGGGTAGATGGGAGTCAAGAGTTCACAGAAGCCGGGAGCCCTTCACAGCTGGGTGCTCCTTGGCCTAGCCCCAGCCCGCTAGGGTGCCCAAGTTGCCTTACCTAGGGTGACCACCATGACAGGGATGCTCAGGCGCTGGCGTGTGGCCTGTGACAGCCGCAGAAAGCCGTACTCCAGCGAGTACTCCACAATGTACTCATCCTGCGGCCACACTGCAGACAGAGAAAGAGTGGTCAGCTGCCCCACCCTCAGCGTGGCCTTGCCACCCGCCCTACCTGGGGCCACAAACCTTTAGTTGGCGTCTCAGGGAAAGGGAAGTCCTGGCTGTCATTCAGGACATCTGGGCCACCTGGAGGCTTGAACACCTTGGGCTCAATGTCCAGCTCAAACTGCAGCACAGGGGGCCTAGGTGTCAGTCCCTGATGGTCTACTGGGTGGGTGTCCCCAGGACTGGGCACCCAGACCCGCTTACCTTGATGGAGCTGTTGTTGAACATTTCCACGGTCAGTTCCTCCTCCTCCTCCTCCCCCAGCTCCAGGCCGCTGAGACCCCCATCACAGAACTGCAGGACCACTGGTGCCCGGCTTGAGTTGTGACGCACCTCTACTCGCAGGACGCCCTCCCGCGGCCATCGATCTCGAACATGCTCCAAGCAGTTGATAGGCGACCGGGAGAAGACAATGTGTATGTAGGCCAGCACAAAAAGTACGAAGAGGGCCTGGGGGTGGGGTGAGGGCAGTCAGCACGGCAGAGGGACACCCCTCTGCCAGCCAGGTATCCCTGGCTGCCTGTGCCTCCTTGGGACCCAGGTGCCTAAGGTCCCCACTGCAAGGGTTTCCTGGACCACTACCCTCCAACAGTTTCTTGGCCCAGCAGCTGCTTCAACTCAAAGTAGCCTTTGGCGGGGGCTGGAGAGATGGCTCAGAGGTTAAGAGCACTGACTGCTCTTCCAGAGGTTCTGAGTTCAATTCACAGCAACCATCTATAATGAGACCTGGTGCCGCCTTTAATCCCAGCACTTGGGAGGCAGAGGCAGGCGGATCTCTGTGAGTTCGAGACCAGGCTACAAGAGCTAGTTCCAGGACAGGCTCCAAAAACACAGAGAAACCCTGTCTCGAAAAACCAAAAAAAAAAAAAAAAAAAGGAAAAAAAATGAGATCTGGTGCCCTCTTCTGGCAAGCATACATGCAAAGAATGTTGTATATATAATAAATAAATCTTAAAAAAAAAAAAAAGTTGCCTTTGGGGACCCCAGTCTTACTGCTACTAACAGAAACCCTGATCTCACCAGCTAAGAATAGCCAAGGTCTCCAGCAAGGCACCCTCTGCCCTGTTCCTGGGACTAGCAGGAGCCATAAGGACATAGCTGCCCTGCCCTGCCCTGGTGGGGCCAGGGCACCTCAGTAGTAGCAGGCTGCCTTGCCTGGGAAATGTAGCTTTCACCTGGAAAAGGGCAATGGCCACTCTTGCTGGTAACCCTGCAGCAAGGAAACCGTGGGCCATGTGGGGGATTAGAATGGGAAGGCAAGAGCTCTGCTCACACCCTGCAGGGTCCATGATGCCCGGCTGAGATCAACCTAGCTCCAGATATTCAAGTACAGGTCAAGAAAAGAGATGGCTCAGTTGGTACAGGTGCTTGCCACTAAGCCTGAGAACCTGAGTTCGATCCCCAGTTTGACACCTTCAAGCTATTCTGACCCCCCATGAATACTGGGGGATACAGGCTCCCACACACATATGTATTCACACACGCATTCTGTAGAGCCACCACCTGGCTACAAGTTTTTAAAAGTCACAGATTACTTAATACTACTTATTAACCTCAAATACCCTGTGCTAGACCTACAGTCACTCAAGAGGCCCTGCCCTTTGGGAACAACCTCCCCTTTCTCTGCACAGTGTGAGAGTAACTGGGGTTCTCAACTTATGGGTCATGACCCCTTGGGGGGAAGGAGTTGTCTAAGACCACTGGAAAATGCAGGTATTTTTACACTATGATTCATAACAGTTGTGAAATAGCAATGAAAATAATGTTATGGCTGGGGGTCACCACCACATGAACTGTATTGAAGGGTCACAGATTCAAGGTTGAGAATCACTGCCCTAACCCATGTCAGGCGGAGGCCAGGGATGTTCGCAGCACCTGTAGACCCCAGGATGTCCCTCATGTGCTGTGTCCTTGGGCTGAAGGGGGCTCTGCGCTCCTTGGGCCTATACAGGGTATAGGGTAAAACTCCTCTATGGCCCCCACTGATACCTTGCCTGAACTTCCCACAGTCCCACTGACCAGTACAGATCTCTGTCTGTCTGCAGATCCACGAGAACCAGGACCCTGACCCTTAGGTGATGGGAGTCACCAGGGCCATGACAGTCTTGAACAACCTGGCATGCTCAATGCGTGCACCCAAGTCCTGACACTCTTCATGGACGAGACTGGACTCCTGAACCCCAATCTTGAGAGAGAGATTCTGCGGTGGCAAGCACAGCAGCAGCACCCCCACTTTCTGCTAGGTGTCCCCACCTTCCGCTAAGTAGCGGTTTAAGGGACATAAGCAACCTAAGGCCAGAACCAGCCAGGGCCGCTCCGCTGCCCACCCTGCTCTGCCTGCTGCCCATGCCTCCCCTCTGCAGCCTGCCCCAGCCCTCCTAGTAGTGACCTGAGGGGATACAGAGCAGCAGGCAGATGGTGGGGACCCTGGGATTGAGAGCAAGGCTAAAGTCCGGAGCTCACCATACCTAAAGCCAACACTAACCTGTGAATTGTGAGGCTCTCCTGTATTAAGTGTCATGAAGTCCGACCCCCCAGGCTGAGAGCAGAGGCAGCGGCTCCTGCTAGTCAGGCCCAAGAACTGGGAGTAGACAGGCCCATGCTCCACATGTTGGGCAACCAGAAGCAGAGGGAGGTGGCCACTGGACAGGTGGACGTATCTAGGCTTCTCTCTGCACCACAGCTGCTAGGCAATCCCACAAGTTCCTACCTGTCACTGAATGAGGCCCACTCAGGCCCTGGGGCCACTCCTCCGCTCATCTACCCACTCTGTGCCAAAGAAACAGGCACTGAATTTGGTCACACAGGCCTGGTGAGGGCTGCATGCTATCACCTCCCGCAGAACACTCGGTGCCACCAGCCTCAG